CCGACTCAACCTCTGTGTCTTCATCTATAGAAACTGTCATCACACCTACCTTGCAGGGGGTGGTGAGACTAAAGAAGAAGAAATGCAAAGTCGCTTAACATGGTAGGTACTCCAACACCTCAAATGTTGGTTCCCTTGCAGTTTTCTTACCTGGCACAGGGCTCTGGCCAGGTCCCTCACTCCAGACATCTGCTAGGCCTGTGGCTACATGCAGGCATTGTTCTAGGTTGCTGGGCCACAAGGCCTGTGGCCCAATTCCTGCCTTCAAGATGCTTCCAGGCAGTGGGTAGAGAGAGACATGCAAACCAGTTTTCCCATTAGACAGAGGGACTCCAGGGCAATCTCTCTAAGTAGGACTTTGCAAGGGACACAGATAGGGCCAAGGACGGGAAGCCAGAGGGAAGGGGCACTCTCACGACTTGAACAGAAGTCTTCAAGCTGTCCCCAGAGGCAGACCTTTCTCTGCTTACCTTGCCACAGAACCACCAGGTAACACTCCTCAGCACAACCACCTCAGCTCCGCCTCCCCTTAACACTGTTTCCTATCCCATTCGAGATGCAAGGAACCCAGTTACTACAAATCCACAGGCCCTTCACACCGAAGTATGCCTGATACAATCTTACCTGGCCTCTCTCAAGAGGCAGCAACAGGCCTGACCTCCCTGGGGAGCGGCAGGGCCGCTGTCTCCTCCCTAACGTTAATTTTGTCAGATCCTCCTCCCTTTTCATCTAAGCTTTCATTTTAAATACTTTCTAAAATCATGTACCTTTGGGGTGGGTGGCAACACTCATTTATCATTTATACATTAAGGGACAGACAGGCCTGTGGACAGATTTAATTAGGGGTACAAGGTGTTCTGAATAGGCTGCTTTCATCCAGCTCCTGGGGCTATGGGTGTAGGACTGTGGCAAAATTCCCCGGCCCTGGGTGAGGCACTGTTCCCCATCCTGAGGGGCTCCAGCGTAAGGATGCTACTGCTACCAACCCTGCCCCAGCCTCCGTTCTAGGCTCCAGGTCCACCCTTGGAGTCTGTCATTGGATCGAAGTGTGTATCCAGCCCTATTCCTCCAGCAAGGCAAGACCCAAGCATGGAGGCCCTAAACCTCATGCCCTAGAAACACCTGCAAGGGGGGCAGAGGGTAGAGACAAAGAACTCAACTTTCAAATCTACCCCTTGTTGGGTTTAACAGGAAGGTGGAAGAATATGGCCGTCTTTTCATTGGCATATCCACTGTGATTTTAACCACAGGACCTTGTGATTTTCTACGGATAGTTTATTTGAGCCAACAGTACCTTGTGGGATACAGCATCATTACCCCAGTCTTTAACATTCTCTAAGTCAGCAACTATACTCGGCCCACTACATTTGAGTCTTTACTTACCAGATAAAGACTTAAACCAAAAAACCAGTTGCTATCAATTAGACTGACTCATGGTGACCCCATGTGTGTTCCATACGATTTTCAGTGACTCTTATGTGATTAGAACTGTACTCCATAGGGTTTTCAGTGGGTGATTTTTCAGATCACCAGGCTTTTCTTTTAAGGTGCCTCTGGGTAGACTCGATTCTTCAACCTGTCAGTTAATAATCAAGTACATTAACCATGATAGTTTAACTGCTTCTTACATAAACTTTAGAAACCTCCAGATAAATAAACGTCCATTTTAACCCTTTCAAGACCCTATTATTTTCTGCTTTGAATTTTTTTTGATGCCATGTGTTTTCATTAATGGAAGCATGCTGAATCACTGAGTGTGTCTGAATTTGTGGTAGGTAGTACGGATTTTTTTTCTTGCCCCCTTTCAGAAGCCTACCCTCAGTCCAGTGGGACAATACACTGTCCTACTAATTCAAACCCCAAAATTCAGAGTTCCACTGGAATCCACTGTGACGTGATCCCATGTAAAATTCTTCTATTTTTCCTACCAGAAACACACACAACTCATACAATACCCTGTAGAAACAGTAACTTGCAACACATGCCTGTTTCTTTTGGTTTCAAACAGTAATTAAGGCCTCTGTCTCACGGCAGCACGCACTGTCATTGGGAAAGCAGCTTCCCAAAAAACCTGACAGCCAGAAAAAGTGTGGGCAACTGTGTATCTCACAGATCATGAAAGGGTTAAAGTATACACCACAATTAGAGAGTTGCTATTTAATACAAGAATATTTATTTTAATTCAAATTTATTTCTAAGACAAAATATCCAATTTCCTCTGCCTAATCTTCCAAGTCTCTTTAAATCTCTATGTATATATATATACTATAAATGGGAGAGATTATTAAAAAGAAAATGTTAAAAGGAGGGTGGTATATCAATCTCTTAGCTGCCAGTAAAAAGAGCTGAAAGGAAAAAAAAGGTTAAGTATGAATGTCACTGGCATTTTGGGGTAGGCGTCTGTATTCAGTTATTCAACTCATCTTGTAAGCGTGCAGTGCAAAGCAAAAACACAACACGATCAGAAGGAATTCTTATTGCCACACTCACAAGGTTGGCAGAGGGCACACGTAGTTCTTAAGTGAGTCCCAGAATCTAAGCTGATTTTTTTCAGTCAGATGATTCAAAAAGGCACAATGGAGGCTAAGATAGAATGCCAAGAAAACATTTCATAGGAAGTGACAGGCAGTGGTATCGGTGTGTGGGTTTTAAATCCAGAAAGTGTGCATAGGAAATCCTAAGCCTTGCCAACTCTTGCCAAAATATTGCCAGAAGCAACTCTTCCATTACTGCTCTGTATACAGTGGGTCAATTTCTGTTCCATGGAACACAAGTGATGCAAGCAAGAGCAGAGCCACTCTCATCCAGGGAGAGTTGAAAGATGGCCAAGAGGTTGAGGAAGCCTGGTTTCTTCTAGCTCCTGTCATTGTTCGTCGCTGTCAATTCCGACTCATGGTGACCCCATGTGTCCAGAGTAGTACTGCTCCATAGGGTTTCCAAGGCTGTGACCTTTTGGAAGATCGCCTCTAGATGGGTTCGAACCACCAACTTTTCAGGTTAGTAGTCCAGCACTTAACTGTTCACCATTACCACCACCCAGGGACTCCTTTCTGGTGCCTACCCTACCAGTAATTAGATGCATGGCCATAGCTGCTAAATCATGTCAATTCTCAATTGCTCAGCTTTCCTACTTGTAAAAGGAAGGATGTGGATTAGATTGATTCATCTGAAAGACAGTGAAGAGCACCCACCACGTGAAAGGCACTGTGTCAGTGGCACTACAGAGAATCAAAATGGGTAAGGAACATGTGGTTCCAGGTATTGCTGACAACAGAAAATAAAGACAGGCTATGCCAGTGCTTTCCTAGCACATAAAAAATGGTAACGTTTGAGCAGTATATGGAAAACCAGGGAAGAGCATGTGGGGGTGGAGGGTCAGGGCCTCCACCTGCCTCAGCTCCCATCTGCTGCTCCGAGACCCCAGGAGAGTGCAGTCAGAGCAGAGCTCTCTCCTTCTCTCTCTCTCTCTCTCACACACACACACACACACACACACATACACACACACACACACAAAAGTGCACAAGCGCGCTGTGTCCTGCCTCTAGGTGGACTGCAGTCAATCCTCTGAGAGGCCCAAAGCACGAGGGGAGCTCAGGGAGGCAGATCCCGAGGGATAAAATTTCTTGCAACCAGAGTTCAGTGGTCTCTGCTTTTGAAGTCTGCCACCTCAGTGCCAATGGAACAACTGATCATGAAGGTTTATTACCCAGTGACTATGATGGGTGGGGTGGAGGGAAGAGACACAGGGAAGAAAGAAGGACCATAAAGTGCAATACTGGCAGGAATGAGAACTACACTTACCTGAGGTTTGGGACTAGGGCATGCTGATACTGTCATCCATTGGCCTCTGCTTTCCTTGCACGTTTGAAAGAACAAAGTTACAGGCTGGTGACCAACAGCCACATGTAGCTAAAGCTCTGGAAAACAGATTCCTGCAGCAAATATTGTTTGAAAGTCAGGCAAGTAAGACCCAGCACCTATCATCAGAGAGCTCAAAGCCTAGTGGACTCACAGCAGATAATGTAAGAACAGCAGCAACAAACCTGGAAAAAATGCTATCTGTTCCTCTCTGATACTACTCAAGATGGAAAATGGACTAATTTACTAGGCGGTCTTCATTTGTTCCTTCCAAAAGAACATTAAGCTGTATTTCTACCCAGGTGAGGCAGTTTGGGAATTCTAAAATCAGTATATGGAAGCAACGTGGTGAGAAGTCTATACTTTCTGTACAAGTGTGTACACCACTAGAGGGCTAAGTGACCAGAATTAAGAGAGAGAACATTTAGAAACCTCTAGAGAAATCTGAAATGGTCGTGAACAGGAAGTCCAAACCTGCATTTTTTTCTGGTTAAGAAAAAGAAAACTGAGCTGTGACCTGACCCAAAACTATCAGAGAGAAAGAAAAGCAACCATTAGCTCAAATGGAGCAGCAAGAGAAATACGGCTCCATTTGCCAGATAAAATAGTAAAGAGGAAAACGGAAGCTCTGCAGGTGGATTACCTAAGCTTCAGTCACACAGGGTCATCTACTCATATAACCAAGTTTCTCAACTTCAACTGAATTCCACCATCCACACGGAGCCACTATTTCACAGAAAAGTGAATCACTTCATTACTGCTGCTTCTTGTTGTTACGTGCTGTTAAGTCAATTTCGACTCATAGCAACCCCATCTGACAGAACAGAACTGCGCCATAGTGTTTCCTAGGCTGTAATCTTTACAAGAGCAGATCACTAAGTCTTTCTCTCGAAGAGCGGTTGGGTGGGTTCTAACTGCCAACATTTCAGTTAGCAGCCAAACACTTAACCACTGCGCCACCATAAAAAATAAACAACAGTGGTATTATTTTAAACTATTTCCTAATTCAAATCAGATTTTGAAACATAAAAAGGGTACTAATGAGTTTTAAAGATACTGGAACAAATTGAGATTTAATTTAAAATATATTTATAATAACCACAATTACATGATTTTTTAAAAAGGTCATATCTGCAGGAGAAGAATGATTGGCTTTAATCTGATCCTTTTATTTCCAGTGGCCCGTGGGTCTTCAGAATGGATAAATAACAGCTTGTGAATGCACAACGGAAACCCAGCCTGAGGTACTCTGGGTACAGCTGAATGAATGAAGCTGAAGGAGTACATCTCAATGCTCCTGTGAAAGATACTCCTTCGGGAAACAAAGGACCGAGCGCCGCAGCCACAGGATTAGGAGCTCAGGGTTCGATGGCCATACTGATGATCTCTTACAGGGCCATAGGCTCATCACTGCCTCAGCCTTTTCAAGTATGATTCAGAATGCTGTCAAGAAACATAGCATTATTCTAGAAGATAAAGAAATATCTATAAAATGCATCATGATCTTCAAGAAATATATGACAAAACATCGAACACTATTTACTAGTGAACAGGGAAAGCCATGGGGTTCAGCAGCACCCATATGCTGACTGAGCCTCTGTTTTGATTACCTAAGAGACCCACTTGGTAAGGACAGAACAGCTAAGTGGTAGAATAAAGAAAAATCATCTTCAGATCCTAAGAATCTACATTGACTCAGACCTAAATCTCAGAATCTGGCAGTGAATGTTTATAAACTTTATTGGTATTTAAGCTAATATAAATTCTAAGATCAAAATTTGTAAAACTTTACTCCTTACACTTTAAAGAACATAGAGTTATATAGAGTTACATCAATATAGGCAGATGACATAAACATATTTTCTTTCATCTTTGATACCCAACTACATGGGATGTGGAAATATTTTATCAAGTAGAGAATCTGCTTTGTCAATAGCCAGTAAACCAGTTTTGTACACTGTCTTTCAGCTGAAAAAACAATACACTACTTACATCATACTGGAAAAGAAATGACCTCAAGATTTCCAAGCAACACAGCAATTTTTCAAATCTGAACTCCCCTGCTGATCATTAGAAATAGCTTCAAATGTCCCATTCCTGGCCTTCATTGATGCCAAAACCTGGATAAGTCTGCAACAAGGATATAACCCCAATATGCAGTTTCTGCACATGGTGCTAAACAGTCTGTCCTCCCTTTCTCTTAACACACCATGATTCATACTAGTTTGCGGTCTCTCTCGAATCAAGCTGTATTTATGTTACATACAGGAGGGGTGAAATTCAAAGTTATTTTGCTTCTAACTCCCGCAAGCTAATAAAAGAACTCAAATTCATTGCTTTGACTGCATTTACTCTTCTGTGTTGAGAACTGATGTGGGCCATACCCTGTCCTCGGTTGAGATGTGCATGTATGAGGCAGGTGGTGCACGCAGCCCAGCGCAGGAGTGCGATGGCATCTGCAGAATACACTAAAAAACTGGAGGCTAAGAACTGGCTCATCGATGACTAAGTGGTGGTGTTTTCTGTATCACACTTTTACACAATTCCCAGAGATCTAAAATGCTGATGAATGAAAGACAGATTTGTTCCCTTTCACAAGCAGCTGGAAATATTAAAATGTTAAGGCAGACTAGAAATAAAACCCAAGTCCAATATGTTTTAAACCAGATTTAAGTTTTTTGTTTTTTTTTAATTCAAACTGACCCAAAACAAAACTTACATTACAAAGGAAGAACAAAATACATTATGATAATAACACACGAGGAGTTACATGAAAGCTAGATTTTGGGCAAACGTCCTCATCCCAATCACATTCTGGGCTAATGAGCAATTTTGCAGAAAGTTAGACTCTCAGTTTCAGATGGTCTGCTCTGATAATTACACTACGCACTCTTGCCTCCTGGAGGTGCATCTGACAAATCACACCAGACTCCCCCTCGCTCCGACGTGCACACTGGCTGCTGCCAGAACACTGAATTCTCCAGTGGAAGTGCCGTTCCAGGCATGACCGATAATGGATTAAAAAACAAAACAGTCGAGTCTTCCAAACTAACAAGCGTGGATTATTATTTTGTAGTAAATAGTTTAGAAATATGGAAATTAAATAATCTAAAAAACACTCTTACTCTGCTGTACATTTATAAACACAAATATTTACAAAAAAAAAAACTTTTCAAAAAATGAGGTTTGCAGTTCATTAATAATCATAATCTTTTGTGAGCCAGTTTCTTTGGTGTATTTGCCAAATATATTTTTTATAAAGGTTTAGCCATAGGCTTAAATAATAAATTTTTAAAAGAAATATAGAAGGATCAATGACAAATTTGGTATGTTCTGAACATTTTAGTCAAGATTCTAGAAAAACCAATCAGTTGATTTTCTGAAAATACTTGTTCTCTCTCTCCTCATTCTGTGACCCCAGAATGCTTCTCTGTCGATCAAACTCAAATCACAGGCCTGCCCATTCATCACTGAATTCCACCAACGACCAGCTTCCAGACATTTTAGAAATTGTTAAATACGATATGTGATTGGGATTTTTATTAACAACAAAAATAAAGCATCCTTTTTTAAGTCTCCAGATAAATCAAACCTCAAACAATAAATAATGAAATTATACACTTCTTCATTAAATAGAAATTTCAATTCCAGGAAGAGCTCTCATAATTTTTTCTGCAAGTCACAGCAGCAAAACAGAACAAAGAATTTACCCTCATCTGATCTTTTTAGTTGGAAGTCCCTGACTCAAGCTCAATGTCTAACTCAGTTTGGAAACCTTTGAATGGTTGGGGAAAGAAAAAAATTTGAAACTAACCGAATAATACACACATGTGCAGAAATAAGCCCTGTGCAAATTTAACATTGTTTCTGCTCAGAGTGCAGGACTCCCAGGTACCCTCCTGTCTCCTCATCTCCCTGGGCCTGGGGTTTTAGGAAGAAGTGACACTCATTTTATTTCTGGATACTACTAATGTGTCATAGCCCTGACCTGGGTATTGTTTAAAGAATGAGGGCACAGTTCTGCTCCTTTCTTCACAAGGCACTCTTACTCAGAGATAACTTTTTAGAGATATTTTTATTGGGAAAAGGACAGACTATCCATTTCTATCAATTAGGCTCAAGTTACAGTTTGGGGATGGTTTTGAAACCAGCCAGACTCTGGGTTGCTGCCTGCAAAAGAGTCCATGGACCACATCAGCAACCTTCCAGATCATCCTTTTCCTGAAGCTGCCCATTCTTCAGACACTTGTGCCCTGCCTTGGCATAGCACACTAGACACTCCAATGCCACAGCTATTCTGTATCCAAGAGGACACACCTTGTACCTGGGAAATGATCACTGCTGGCTCCGGAAACAGGCAAAGCTAGAGTAGACGCCTCTCAGTTCTGGTCTTAGTTATACTTCTCAGTTGAAATAATTTTATGCTTAATGACTTAAAACTAGACATTCAGAGAAGAGAAGCCCTTCATCTTGTAAATGTCTATTAGTAAATGTATTACTGGTGTGGAAATATTTTGACATTTCCCAAAGCACGAAGAACAATACTGGACATTTGAGAAGGTTCTTCTAAAGCTAATGCCAAATCAGGCACAGAACACATTTCCAATAGCACTGTCTTCGATCCCTGATGCCTCTGGAAACTTTTCCATTGTCACAGACACTCTGTCATATCCGTGTTTACCCTGCAAACATATGCCAAATCAACCCAGAAAATAAAATCACTCTCCTGAAGAGTTTCACTGTGTAACCTCAAAACAGATAAGAAATGTTTAATTAGCATACCAGGAATTAACCAGGCTTACAAATGTGCATCCATTAGAAATTTTACTCTTAAAAAAAAATTTTTTTAACTGAGAAGAAAAGAAACACCATGAAAACATCCCAAATTATTTAACTGTTAAAGCCAAATGGTTTAACACTATCTGGGACTATTCTTAGGGAATACTCTACCACCAGGATGTGAAATTTTCTGTCCAAAGTGAAGTAAAAAGCAAAGCTTAAAATGGAAATGGCAAGTGACATACTGTGGTTCTGCAATGACAACTAAAGTCATGGTTCCTATTCTCACGGGCACATCAAAGCTGGCTGTGGAACGACAAACGCCAAAGGAAATAATGGATAAAATACACCAGAAAGAGTATTGCACAGGAGGCACTGTCTGAAAAACAGAATACACTGGCTTTATAAAGTTATCTTCTTTCCCATTATTTTTTAAAAGCACAATTCAGCTAGAGACAGAAGTTGAGACGTAAAGTCTCTGGGTAGTGTACTACGGTTGTTAAAAAAAATAAGTTAAAAACAAGAGCACACCAACAGGAAAGCAGAGGTACTGGATTTATGTTGTCCAACAGCTACATCAATTAGGAAACGAACAGTTTGAAACAGCCAATTTGTACTCATTAAAAATGAATGAGGTGACAGCATCACTTTTGGAATTTCTCAGGGCATCTTCCAATATAACCCAGGGCCCCCTGGGTGAAAATGGGCCTCCAAACATTACTTAACAAGTGCTTTGCTGGTTTAGAATGCACGCCAATAAAACCAGAAATAATTTGGAAAGGATAAGTTCTCCACTCCAATCCTGCTTGTTTCATTTTAGAAAAACAATTTTTCTAAATGCAGTATTGTATACAAAGCTTGGACCTCGTAAACTTGGACCAAGAAACCAGATTAAGACCTTCAAGCGTGTGGTGTGTGTTTATACATATAAAAACCCCTCCCCTACAATGAAAACCAAACAAACAAAAAAACCTAAAAGTGTATACCTGCTTTCTGACTTCACAGCAAATCAGAAATTGCATAGGATATACTTTGTGCAAGGCAAAAAGCCTTTTAAGTATCTGGAATATAACTCCTAATCTCGCTCACAGTTCTGTGAATATCAGATATCATCAAATTTGTGTTTTAAGTAGTCTTTCATGACCTTGGCAATTGGTAGTTCATCAAGTAGCTTTAGGTTTTGAAGGCCTATACACTGTCGAATTTTAATTCGGCACAGGTCCTGCAAGTTTCTGGGCTGCCCTAAAAAGACAGAAAAAAGAAAACGTTACAAAGCTACAAAGCAAATATTTAAGGCGAGCTTTTAGGTTCTGAAAAAAAATTACTTCTCTGGGAAGTGACTTTACATGCAAAGCACTGGACAGACGTCAGCTAAAGGAAGTGGGCTAGGGTACCCTCCTGCGGTATCTCATGTGATCCTTTTCACAACCCTGGGATGGTGGACACTTTCACCTCCATTTCGCCAATGAGGATACTAAGAATCAGAGACTTAAGTAAACTGCTCCGTGTCAGACAATCAAGTAAGGCGTTAGGCTGAGACGGAAGCCAGTTCTTCTGATTCTCAGCTCGGTGTTCTTTCTGCTACGAATCAGGAGAATTGCGCTCTTGTCCTGGCGAGGCCTCTCATATGCTGGGTGAGCATGAGCAAACTGCTGCATTTCTCTGGGCCTCGGTTTCTCCACCTCAAGTGTGAGCTGGACGCTCTCTACTGGGACCCTCCTTTCAGCTCTGTGTTGAGGACGCTGGAGCCTAGGTACGTAACCAATCCTGGGAACTTTCCCAGACTATACCTACCCACCTGCACACCGTGATTCTGGAGGGGGTAACGTCCAGATGAAGGCATCAGGGAGGAGAGAAGCAGGGCAGGGAGAGGGTTGCAAAAGCACCCCAAGCTATTCTGAATCTCTGCCTCTGCAACCTCAAGGCCTGACCACCTGCCAATAAAAACCCTGCTATAACACAAAAAGACAAATTATAAAATCCAATTTCCTTCAACTTTCAAATACTTTGTTTGACCAAAGCAATACAGGTGACCACAAACACAAGCAAAACTGCTCAGTAACTGCGCTTCAACAGAGTTTGGATTCACATAAATTATGACTTCAAATGAAACAGTAATAATAACAAAAGCTAATGTATACTGAATGCTTACTCTGTGCTACGTATTGTTATAAGCTCTTGACACACAGTACTCCTTTAATCCTTTTATGAGGGAAGTACTTTGATCATCATCCCCATTTTACAGATTCCCTGAGCTTCAGAGAGATTACGTAACATGCTCCAAGTCAAAGCAGAACGCCATACACTTCAGCTATTCTCAAACTTCTTGGTCTCAAAACCTCTCTACACTTTTAAAAATTATTGAGGATCCAAAAGAACTTTTGTTTATGTGGCTTACATCTATCAGTATTTAACATACTTGAAATTAAAACTGAGAAATTTTAGAAATAGTTATTAATGCATTTAAAAATAACAAAAATAAATCTACAAGATGTTAACATAAACATATTGTTATGAAAAATAACTATTTTCTCAAAACAAAAAAAAATCAGTGAGAAAAGTGGCATTCTTTCACATTTCTACAAAGCTCTTTAATGTCTGGTTTAATAGAAGATAGTCAAATTCTCTGTATGCTTCTGCGTTCAATCTGTTGTGATAAAATCACAGCACACAGTCTCTGGAAAACTCCACTTACACTCATGAAAGAATGAACGTGAAGAAGTATTATTGTAGCATTATCAGTGTTATTGTGAAAATCATTTTGACCTCACAGAGGCCCTCAAAGGGCCTCAAAGAAATCCAGGCGTCCTCAGACCACACTTGGAGAAACCGCGGCTGTACTGAATACTTTATTCCTTACTTGAATTGTACTCGTTTACAGTGGTCAACATTATTCAAAATTAAGTAATTCTTCTAAATGAAATGGCTCCTTAAAATTCTGCCCTCTGCTCTGTAAGGGCTCTACAAACATGTGCTTTCCAAGAGGGTACTTAATGTGTGGTCTCTTAACAAAATCGCAACAGAAGCTACTGCCTTCCTGGAAATGTCTGGGAACTGGGGGGCGTGTATATCCACAGATGTCTGTACTAGGAGTCACACACGGACATGGCACACACACTTATTGTTTCTTGGTATGGTCACGTCATCTTCAACTTTTGGATCTCTGCATAATGGCACTTTATCAGGGGGACAATGTCAGGTTCCCCACCAGGTACTTGCAGAGCTTCTCTCCTCTGTGGCACTTAATAAGGGCATGAGTTCATGTTTACTTGGAGGTGATGTATCAACGCCCGTCTTCCTCCCTGTATGTTTCATGAGGGCAGGACCACTTCTGGCTCCAGCTGCCAATGTAAATCCAATGCCTGACACAGGACTCAACTAATACTGGCTGAAGAAATGCATAACAGGTTTGTCCTTTAAAGTGTGAAAGAGTCAACTCAACTCATTGCAAAACATAACAATGTCAACAGCAAATCATTTTCTAACCTGTTTCGAATTGTTTTTCACAACTATTTGTCTTAGTCATCTAGTACTGCTCTAACAGAAATACCACAAGTGGATGGTTTTAATAAAGAGAAGTTTATTCTCTCAGTCTAGTAGACTACAAGTCCAAATTCAGGGCGTCAGCTCCAGGGAAAGGGTTTCTCTCTCTGTTGGCCTTCTCATCAATGTTCCCCCGGACTACGAGATTCTCCATGCAGGGACCCCGGAGCCAAAGGACACGCTCTACTCCTGGCACTGCTTTCTTGGTGGTATGAGGTCCCCAACTCTCTGCTTGCTTCCCTTTCATCTCTTGGTGCAGGCCACACCCTAGGGAAACTCCCTTTACATAGGATCAGGGATGTGACCTTAGTAAGGGTGTTACACAATCCCACCCTAATCCTCTTTAACATAAAATTACAATCACAAAATGGAGGACAACCACACAATACTTGGAATCAGGGCCCAGCCAAATTGATACACACATTTTTTGGCAGACACAATTCGATCCGTGACACTATTTAGAGACTATACCTTTCTGAAGAGAGTTTAAGTCATCACTGTCATTTTTCAATAACTGCTTACATTATTTGATCTTCAAATGCAAACCAGAATATGAATGAGATGGGGCTCTTCTTTTTTTAAAGTAAAGAATTTGATTTACTAGATGGCAGGTTCTTTTCTATATAATTCTAATAAAAAGAGCACCTACAATATACTCAGGCAAAAAACAGATGTGGATAAAATTGACATATATAAGTATATATGTATACTTAAATGAAAACATATCATCCAACAAAGTAGTAAAAATGAAATTATTGGAATTTGCTTAGCTAAGGTATAAAAGAAGGCATTGAGACAAAAGGTTACCTACTGGGAGATCTTCTGATACAGCCTCATTTTGGGGCAGACTGTACTCTCTAAAAATGACCACAAGTATCTCTTATACCTCATGCTGTTTTTACAACATGATTGGACACTCCTGTCATTAAGAGACGGGGGTCTACGTTCCCTCCCCTTGAAACTTGGTGGGCTTGTAACTATGGGGAAAACGATGGAAAGCAGTGCTGTAAGACTTCCAAGGCTAGATCATAAAAGGTGATATAGCTTTCACCTGGCTCGCAGGACACTCACTCTTGGAACACAGCCGCCATGCCACAAAGAAGCCCAAGTAGCCTATAGAAAGGAACTGAGGTCACTGCCAACAGTCCTGGCTGAGCTCCCAGCCAAAAGCCGACATACATCAACTTGCCAGCCATCTGAGTGAGCCATTTTGGAAGTGAGGAGCCCCCAGTCAAGCTGCTCCGGATGACACGGTGGAACAGAAATGAGATGTCCCTACTGACCCTTGACCAAACTGCATATATGTGAGTAAAATCATTGACTACTGTTTTAAGCTACTAAATTCTGAAGCATTAGATAACAGAGTGAGATTCTGGGAATTGAAAGTTGGAGTGATACCATAACAAAAATCGAAAATACGTAGCTTCGGCATTGGGACAAGGCAGTACAAGAAGCTAGAAGGACAATAAGAAAACTATGAGCAAAAACCTAAAGGGATTTAAGCCAAGTGTTAAGTGAAGACTAAAGGGTTTTGAAGAGGCTGAAAGTCCTCTGGTGAGGAAAAGAAAGTTGTAAAAATGTTACTAGAAGCTGGAGGAAAGAGGACTCTTTTTATGTAATGGTGGAAGGTTTAGCAACACTGTCACTAGTGGTAATGTGGAAAATAAAAAAGGTCCTAATGACTTCAATGATCTAGTTAAGGAGATTTCCCAGGCAGAATACTGAAAATATCACTGGCTTCTTCTTGTAGTCTATGATGAAATGCAAGATACAACGAACGGTTAAATATAAAAGAGCCAAGACTTCCTGGGTTCAAAAGTAAAACTGTTTTTCATTCCCAGGCAAATGATCCTCAAACTCACAAAAAGACTTCAGGCCAAAGATTAAATCCAGGGTAGACCATAAGACCTTTTGTTAAGACCTCAAAAAGATCTAAGATGGTACCTCATAGAGCCTTCAGACTGACAAAAATCTAAGGACCTTTAGGATCCTCTTCACAGATCTTCATTAAACAGCAAGGCTTTGAAGAATATTAAGGGCATTGTCCCACAGCAGTCTCACAGTGAGCCCAAGGTAGAGAAGGTTTTCTGTCTAATCTGAGTATATTATCAATTGATATGCAAAAAATCTACTAAGTGTTTAAAATCAGCTTTGACTGAAATGAACAGAGAGTACAAAATGCAAAAAGGCTTTTGGATCCTCTAACTTACATGGGCAGAAGCAGGCTGAGAAAACTACTCAAATGCAAACACAGGCTACATATTTATAGAACCAAAATGAGCTACCAACAACTCCCAAGACTGAGCTCTAATCAAGAACTGGCAACATGTGCCTGGCTGGATTTCAGAACCGCTAGGGACCAGTGCCTATTGTGTGCTTCCAATCTCCCCTCTTTTTGAATGGGAACGTCTACAGTGGTTACCCTAAGCCTGTCCCACCACTGTATGCTGGGGTGTGTGTAGGAGACAGAAGTTGCCCCTTTAGTTCACAGCTCTTCCGATTGAGATGAACAGTACCAAAAGAGCTGTTTTTATGGAACTACATCCAAGAAGCATCATCCACATCTGGACCTGATTTAAATGACAAGATCTTGATTGAGCTGATGCCATATTCTGATGAGACTTGGGAGCACTGGATGAGGGCATCAGTTCATTTTACACATGGAAGGGATGCAAGGTGTTGTGGCCAGAGGGTGGACT